CATCATGAGTTAGTCTTATAGTAATAAAAAAAATTATAAGAATACACTGGCAGAATTATATTTTATTTTAGTTTATTACAACTAATGAAGAATTTCAAAATATTTTTAATACTTATTTTGTACTTATGTATTAGGTACACTTTTAGTAAGACATAGAACAATTGACTAAATTAAGATTATTGTTACATAATATAGAATATAGATATTAGATAACAGTACCTATAACAAAAATATGATTCARGATAAATTCAAATTCATAACATAAATAAAAACATATTATTTATGGAGTGACCAGTCTTGCTTGTTTATTATTATTTTTGAACCATTCAACAGTGTCAGCTATAGCTGTTTCTAAACTGGTAAATTTAAAATTTGGTAACAATTTTCTAAGTTTTACATTACTAGCAGTTTTTTTAATCTGGCCATCTGCAGCACTAATGTCAAATTCTAGAATTCCTTGGAAATTAAAAGATTTTGCAATCATTTCAGCTAACTGACGAATTGTGATTTCATCTTTTTCATCCACTAAAAAAAAAAAAAAGATTTGATTGATAAATTGTTTTGTTATAAAGATAAGATTTRGCTGTTGAAAGATTAATATGTGTTATTTGTATAAAGTATGTCTATTTTCATTAAATACCTGATAAGATGATAGGTTCAACATCATTGTAATTCCTTAACACCCAAACAAACAGCTTAGCAAGATCCAATGAATAAATAAATTGTCGCAAAGGTTTTCCAGATCCCAGTACCACAAATTTATCAGCTCCTAAAAATTATGTGGAAAAATGGGACATAACTACCTACACAGTTTTTGTTAAAACTCTAAATTAATTAACCCTATATGTCTCTACATATTGTGTTCATTTGAATATGAAAATAATATTTTATTTGAAAAAAATCATGCATATTACTGTTGTAAATATTATTATATAAAATTATGAGAACAATTCTAGTTAAATTTTTTTATTTGCAAAATGTGTGTTTTTGTATGCTTTTTGTAATGGTACATTAAAATAAAGTTGCTATTAGTTATAAGTATTTATAGTTTAGATTTGCAGAGTGAGTGGYACAGGGTTACCCCGYRAAATGTTTGTCCACTACTCCGCTTGTCTAAACTTTAAATACTTATAACTCATAAACTACTTGTCCTAAATTCGATTTTTATGAATAAAAATACTTAAAAAAATATTCTGCTTTGGAATATGAAATTAAAACTCTATGTTGTCATTCAAAAAAGTAAAAACTTAAAAAATKATAAGGATAAAAAATATAATTTTTTATATAAAAACGTTGGTTTTAAATTAACTTGAAACTATGTAGAAAAATATTTTGAAAAAAGTCAATACTTTTTTTAAATAATGAGTGTTCTTTGATAAAAAAATCACCCTGTRTATTTATGTTACATACAATATCCGGAATTGTACATTTCGCAATTTGTATAGTGATTTTTGTACACATCGCSAATTGTACAAGTTTCATTATACAATTCGTGATGTGTACAATAATCACTGTACAAATTGCGAAATGTACCTTCATTGTACAAATCACAAAATTTAAAAACATAAATTACAATATAATAATTAATAACTGGTATGTTTTAAAAGTATTTTCTTAACAAATATTACATATTAGTACCATTATATATATTATATAGTGATACATAGATCTGGATGAGGTAGGAAATAAATATTTTTACTAATCTCCTGCCTTAATGCACCACTATTAACATATCCTATTTATAGTGTTATTTGATCTATTACAGTAGTAAGTTCCATCTTTAGTAACTTACCTTTCTCTAGAGCTATGTGAAATCGATGAATAAGCGCTGGTACAACATGGGCATTTTGCAAGTCAAAATTKTCATGCGGTCCAAACACATTACATGGTACGACAGAAGTAAATATTACTCCATGTTTTTGATGGTATGCTTGATTTGCTATATCTAATAGTCGCTTGGCATAGCTGTAACCAAAATTGGATGGATGAGGAGGTCCATTATGAATCTAAAATATATTGTATGAATTCATTATATTATAGAACTGTTTTCATAATATTGAATAATGTACAACCAATTTGAAAAAAAAAACAAAGTGGTTTTTAAACAGTAACTATTATTATATTTCAATAAAATTTTAATGAAAATTATATTGGGCAAAGTTTAAATATTATGATTTAGTGGCGTAAAATGGTCATGTTTTTTTTTTTTTCATAGGGAAATTAAACATTTAGCCCCTCACCAAGCTAAAAATAATACCTATTGCCTATTGGTTTATATCATAACTTTCTCTTAGTACAACCATTGTGATCCATAGCAACAAGTTGAAATGCATCATAAATCTTTAAAAGGTTATAACACTTAAACCTTTGGAACTAAGTCCAACTGGTAAATTCTGATTTCATCATTGTTCACAACTCGGTGAAATTTATTGCAAACTACACTGTATTGTTTTGCTGTAGGCATAACAATTTATTTRCTCAATAGTGATTAAAGTGTTTATTATAAAGCAATATTATCTTAGTTATGTACAATCATGTTTTTATGTATTATTTCTATAAAATATAATATAATTTACCTAATACTCATAATAATCTATAATCTTAATCTATAAATATAAAATCCAAATACCACTGACTCACTGATCACTGTATCTCAAAAACTACTCAACGTACAAACTTAAAATTTGGAATAGTGGTTTATTTAATACATTCACCGAGCAATAAGAATTTTTCAAAATTTTGATTTTAAGGGGTTGAAATAGGCAAAAATAAATTTGTTTGTGTAARTTGTATATTTATATTCATATTGTGTATTTATATAACAAGCTATTAAATAATAATATTAGTTGACTGATAACGTTTGGTGCACATCGTAACACAAAAATGTCAGTTATTATTTATAAATATTAAAATGTTGTTTTACATATTATTTTTCATATAATTATTGCCGTTTTTTCGGTTTCATCTCTGGAACTAGGTACTTACATTTTTGCTTACCATCAGAAAGCTACAATAAGCTACACTATCCCATGGATTTATTGGCTATATTTTATCTTGATAAGTGGCCTTTTTTATTGCAAACTTAAGATTTTTTATAGAAATAATAGATATATAATAATAATAATAATTTAAATATAATTTTATTTATTATAGTGTTGATATTGGTTTTACAATTCAGTATGGATGAATAAGAAATTATCAATTCGTTCTAAGATACCTATCAATTTTAAAAATTGTTTCACCTTATTTACAAAGCAATAAATGCGATACAATATTATGATCACTATAGCTACGCCGAGTATTAAATGACGAATTAAATACAAATTTTGAATCATATAGATATATTATATCATATTGTATTTTTAATGGGCAACGAAGTGCACGAGGATCAACTAGTAATAATATAATATATGTTACTGGCAATGTGGAATACCGGTCAATGTGGTCCTTGCCCGGGCAATATGAACCACRATGATTTTTTTTATCTACTAATATTATTTTTGTTTTTATTATAAATTGTAATTTTATTATTAGCCATTTATAATTGTTTATAGTATTTAAAAGTATAATATCATTATTAATTTTATTAAATTTCAATGAAATTTCACAATAGACTACGAAATTTTGGAAACACGCTGTAAAAACTTGTTTTTGTTTCCTACCGTACGTCCGTACTGCCTATTTAAGAGTCATACATTTTCCATATGGAAATAGCTGTCTTGATAAAATCAGTCAACGATTACGAAATAAAAAAATAATTAAAAAATATAACTAGGGAAACAATAACGTTATATTTAAATTTTTGCGATACGTGTGAGAGAAAAGGGAATACAGCGAAAAAAGGATTAGTGGTTAAACTTTAAACCAATTATTTCTTTGAAAATGAGTGCCAAACAGACCTTATTGATATGCAAGCGTAACCAGACGGAAATTATAAATTTATATGTGTTTACAAATTCGTCATACTTAGCCACTTAGGCCTTTAAGACATAAAAGTGCCGAAGCAGTTGCTAATGTTTTGTTGGATATATTTACCCTTTTTAGAGCACCTGCTATACTACAAAGCGACAACGGACGTGAATTTGTAAATAAAATAATATCTGAACTTTGCACTATGTGGAAGGATTTAAAAATAGTTCATGGTAAGTCGAGACACTCTCAAAGCCATGGTTCAGTTGAAAGCGCAAACCAAGATGTCGAAAATATGCTTGCAACAAGGCTCTAAGATAATAAAACAAACAAATGGAGCAATGGCTTAAGATTCGAACAGTTGATAAAAAACCGTGCTTACCACCATGTGTACCTATATAATATTCACCATATGAAGCAAGCGATGTTTGGTACACCCCCTAAAATTGGTTTAACGTTGTTATTACTTCCTGCAAACATTATTGCAAAATTGAAATCCAAAGAAGAACTTCAGATTGTCTTAGAGTCAATACAGATTCTTTCTAACGACAACGAAAATAAAGAAGTGAATAGTGAAATAGAAAAAAATAATAAAGATCAAATAATCGWAAACAAACAAAAAAAAGACAAAATCAATTAACCAAAACAGGAAAGAGTCATTAAATAATCTGGAAATTCATTCCAAAAAAATGACGGAAATGTCCGAAAAACGATTTTGCCAAGGAAATATTGGGAGTAGATTAGAGTTAAAATTCCTGATGTAGATAGAGCACGGAGTGATCTTAGATGTGTTATTGGAGWAATTATGTTGAGTAATAATAATATTTAACTATATATTATCAGATAATATTATTTAGTTAAATATTGATTAAAGTTATATGTAAATTAAATATAAATAGTGAGATTTTCAATATTAATATTTTAAAATACCTATAT